ATTTCATAGGAGTCATAAAATGGCGTATTGTAAATCCTTTATAGAAGCTAGAATGATCCTTAAGCCTTTTAACAGATTGTTGTCTGACCTCCAAAACCCTCTTTATTGAAAATTTTGTTAATTTAATTTAAAAAACAACGTAATATGTTATCAAATTTTAACAATAAAAAAATAGCACAAATCGAATAATTGATTACTATCAATAAAGTAATGTGATATAATTTGTTACTGTAATATAATTAAGAATTTGTAGAATTTCGTGCTCTCTTTAAAATATTTAAAAGCTCTATTATGTTATATACTTTTATAATATTTCACAAATAAATCTAGTCAGTTGTCGTCGAATTTATTGATAAATTTATTCTGTCCGTGTGAAACCGGCATAACTGCCGATTCAGTTTCGCCGCGGCCTCAAGTTGAAATTGTTCGGTGTAAGAAGTAGAGGAGAGCTGTCGCAAGGAGCGGACGTGTCCGAGGTGTGTGCGGAGAGCGAGATATTGAGCGGTATCGTTTCCATGTAATAGGCAATACGTTATTGAGGCTCGGCACCGGCCTCGAAATGCATCTTATTCCCATGTTAATGTGGATTATCAAGCAGCCCCGTTCGCGGTTAGCACAAATGCTAAAGTTCGTGGAACACACCGTCGCGTAGCTACGTCGTGAGACCCGCGGGCATCGTTGCACCTTTGCGATCGGCCGATCGATCGATCGGTCGACCGATCGACCGTTTCGTCACGCCGATCGATCTCGGTGATCGATCTGGCATTATTACATGTGTCGTCGGCTTTTGTCGCGCCGCGGTGCAACGAGGACTTTCTATTTCCGAGATTTGAATGCTCCACTCGCCACGGGTAGAAACCTAAAGGATATATTTGTGATATATTTTGCCTTTAATCATCAATCTTTTATATTAAAATTGACACGAAAGATATATTACGTAAAAAAATCTTACAATTAATGGAAACCAAGAGTTTCCATTAATAAAAAAGTAATCTTTTCTTTTATAATATTTATACACAATGCTATAATATCAATAATACACTCGTATTTATAAAAATCTAAAGTTTCATAGTTAACGAAATAATATCTAGCAAAAAATGATTGGATTAATTAATACATATTAGCTGTAATCAATACTAGGTACGTTTCCTATGTCATAGCCATATCTTATCTTCCGCATTTCACGTTTCCCCACATCTTAATTACCATGCGTAAGAACGCGCTGTAACTATATTCGTTACCCATCTCTCGCCCATCGTCATCCCTACGAAAAAACTTTCTCGGGGCGAGGTAATTGTGGTCTTCGTGCGGATGAGATGAGAATCGACGCGACATCCGGGCGACGACGAGATGGCACGCTGGTGGAATAGAAATGGCGAAATAAAACTAGCCGCGAGAGATCAAGGTCAGCGGCGGCGAACGGAGCCAATTAGCCAACCATAGACTCGATTAGCCAGCCGGCGGAAGCGCTTCGGACTGGCGAAACTACGCGTATAACGGGCCGAAAGATATACAGGCACCGTAAGTACTATACTTAGGCGGATAACCGAGTGCCCGTGTGTCCATTAACGTTTCTACCGCCGCGCCGCCGGTCGCTGATACTTTCTGAGATGCTTTTCCGCCTTTTCCTCTCCCGCTCGTTTCGCACGTGATCTGAGGCGAGCGAAGAAACAGATAGAAAGAGGGAGAAAAAGTGGGAGAAAGAGGCTCGCTGAGGCGAATTCATCCTAGATTATAACGGTATTCGCCTCTGTTGAATATTCACCGGCTTACACGCCCGATTTTTTTGCACCGGCGAACTTCGACCTGACACCGTACGGTAGCATTGTAAGGTCCGTTCTCCAAGAACGGTTCCAAGAACGGTGAATAAACTTCTTATAAATAAGTTCGCGTTAGGGTCTTTTCATATCTCATATCCACCACGCGAAGAAATAGATATCTATTCTCAATTTTTCATAATACTCTTTTGTGGAAATATTGGGAGATGTTATTGAGTCAAGTTAATATTTCGTTATATTCTCTATTTATGTAGATGGCTGCAGATCTGAATACATGTAGCTTGAAGATTAAGAACAAGTCCATAGAAAGTCCAACGTAATATTTTCTCGTCGAGAGAACTAATCGTGCAAGTAGCTGTAATAGAGTGCAGAGGATAATAACTTACAATTAATTGAAATAGGCGTTTAGACAAACGCGTATAGAATAATTGCTACCGGTTCCGTTGGATACTGTCGGCGTGCAACACGATGGTACTCGATTTACAGCTTTACCGTTTACTCTTACTACTTGTCGGGACTAGTTTTCCTGCGTAAGTAAAAGCGTCAATAAACACGCGAGGCGGCTTTCATCAGATATATCAGGGGACTGTCTTTCTCTCTCTCTCTCTCTCTCTCTCTCTCTTCCGGTAGAATAGCGCACATAGTACAGGAATCGTAATCCGGCCCCCGTTCATGAGGATCCCGCAAGAAGTCCGTGCCCTCACGGCTCGAGGATCATGGCTTTGTCCGGCGAATAATGGCAGAGCAAACGGGAGGCGTTCGTCGGAATTAAAACGTGAGCCTGCGGATGTTCGGCGGTCCCGAGCGAAGAGGGCTGCTATACAAAGGATTCCTCTTTCCCTTCTTCCCTTCACTCTTCGCAACTATCCCTTGTCGAGAAAATCCGCGGAGAATCTCTCGGAATTGTATGTGACGATATATGACAACATCGGATGAAGAGAAAATACAGAACAAACAATTTAATTCTTTAGTTAAAGATAAACATTGCTGTCTGTTTCGTTATCATTTAGCAATCTTTCTTCATATCTTCATTCTGTGTAAACACCTTTAATCTTAACACGCAACGTGTATTAAGATCTATGGAATTGTTTACAGTTGGATTAAGCAATTGAAGGGAACTTGAATCAAGAATATCGGCTATCATTAGTCACACGTGTATCACATAGTTTATCAAGATAATTCTGAAAAACAACTTTCGCAAAGATAACGCGTCGGAAGAAGAACTGAAACGTTCTTTATCAGAAATAAGTCGAAGTAGCTCCTGACTTCGTTTGTCTTAATCTGAGAATACACAGCATGGCAAAAAAGAACGAATCCGCGGGCAGTGATCGTTAACTATCCTTAGCACCAAATCTTCTCCATTTCCATTAGCAGGAAGCATTGCCTCTCTCTTTCCCCGCGCGAACGAGAAACGGGCTAATCTCTCGAGGGGTTAAGCGATCGCTTATAGCGATTTTCCTAACCCTCCTTGCGAGATCCCTCGCAGTCCGACACCCTTTTCGTCCCTCCCCGCTGCCTCCCTCATCCGTGACGTGCGAGTCCGTGAGAGCGACGATCTATCACCATCATCCGAGATTGAGACTTTGCGCTTTCGACGAAAACAAACTGCCGTGTCGTACGCCATATTGCCGGCTGCTTTATATTCGCCGATCCTTCGTGAGCAACAAAAGCGAACTATACTCCACCTCGTAACGCGTCACGTGCGTGCGTCATTACGCCTCCTCTTTCGCGGGGAAAGCGACGCGGCGCCTTCCTCGCGAACATGTTGAAAATCACCGGGTCCCCTTTACGGATGATGCATACGACATCGCGACGCCCGCCGAAATATTGCGATACGGGTCTTTCTGCGCCGGGAACGTTAACGCACGCGAGATATATACGGTGTATGGATTATCTACCGAACATTTTCTCAGATAATATTCGCAGATTTTATAGATATATGTAGTTTATAATTAATTCCAAGACTAACTGTCCTCCAACACATTTGAAGCGACAGCCACTTTTAGGTTGATGTCTAACATTAATGATTGAAGAAAAATACCGTGTGGTATCGAGACACCCTATATGCCTATGGGCAAAGGGATTCATCGTAAAAAATGATCTACGCAATTTTCGATTTAGCAGTCTCGCTTATACGTGCGCAATATGCTTAACTTAGGGGATGTGATATGAAAATACAATGTGGTGAAAAATAGAAGCGATAAATGATATTTTGTGTTTCCAATTTCAATCATAGCGCTAACTTATTCATGCGAGGTGTCGGAAACCTAGAGGTGATACTTCTAAGTGCTTTCGAGATAATTCTTGGATACAAGATATAAATAGCTATCGTGTGTACTGTGATAAATTTAAACGCTAACAAAATTAGTGCACGCGTTGCACGAGCAACACACGGGGAAACCTGCCCGTTGCCGGTCAATTAATTCAGGAAGCTGCTTTTAATCGTTAGCCGGGCCGACGAGGGAGCATTCCCGGTCGAGGAAACGCGCGAGCAAGAATCCTCGCGAGTGTAATTCCGCTCGTAATAAACAGGAACACGCGTCGTTATCGACACGGTGCGATCGCACGAGACGGGCCGGACGAGAGAGAGAGAGCCGGCTCTCCAGGGTCGCGATCGCAAGCGTTCTCCCCCGTGTGTAATACGCCGGACGATTTCTTTATTTAAACGATACGGCCGGCCAACGCCGTACATCACCGCGGTCAACTGGAAAAAAAAGAAGGCACGACACGTCGTGCGGTTGAATATTATTAGACCGTGGAGAAGAAAACGACGCGGGTAAATGATCGCGCTCGGCAGATCCTCATAAGATTGTTGCATCTTAAGTGCAATTTATACCGTTCGCAGAAATACGGCCGTCGACGAACATCGTATGTTAACAGCGAGTTGGAGTTCTTTTATTAAGTATCTTCATTTCCTCTCATTTAATTTTTCTGATCAGATTAACGTGGGGTTCTTCTCGGCATAAATTTGATCGCATCTTCCCTTACATTTTGCTATTATTTTACGTTAAATATCCTGTAATGATTGAATAAATTCTCGAACTGAAATTTCCCTCTTACGGTTTTAAATCAAATTTCCATTTTATGAGGAAAAATATAAACTTTTCATTAATTGTTTCTACACATCCCGTTGCAAAGAAGTTTAGAAAGTTTCGCATGGACCAGTCGCGAATTACCGTCTGAAAATTCGCGCGCAACGCGACTAAAGCACGGGTGACTCACCGGTGAACGACTCCTTTCGAGTGCATGTGCTTGAGCGCGGCGACCAGCTGTCTGGCGTAGAGCCTCGCCGTGTTCTCGTCCAGTTTACCGGCCGGCTGCTCCTTAATGTGTGTGCACAGGTCGCCGCCGGTCGCGAGTTCCGTCACGAGATAGTACACGGATCCACACTGCAAGCAGGCGTTAAATTAAACCGTTATCGATTCCCCGCGTCGATAACGCGAGACTATCATAGAGGTTTTAGAGATACAATAACATGGGATTCTGTAGGACCGGTTCTTTGGTTTTTTTGGTCCTTTAAGTTCTTAGACTCTCGCGGTGCTGTTTTTAATACGAGGTTCTAAAAGTCTATACAATCCCGAGGTATTCGAATTTAGATGTGTCTTGCGCCAAACATATCTTGTAGAAATATGAATTTATTGAAATTACAGCAAAGTGATATCAAAATCTCAGAGTAACAATTTGAAAAATTTGCGTAGTATAAATTCTATTTGTACTTAATCATATTGAATCGTTGTCTGGTTGTAGAACATTTAGGTAGGATGCAATTGAAATTCACGATTATAATTCAGGAGTAAATTGCACGTAACAAAAGGGGGGAAAGCAGGTTATTCCTTAATAAGAAGATAATTCACGATGACGCGCTTTAAATTTATTAAATAACGTTAACACATCGTGTACAATCTCCTCTCATTATTTTTTCGTTTCGTGCGGCTCGACGTCGAAGCATGGGTACGTAGGTACGTTTTAGTCGTCGCCCGTGAAAATGGAGCAACAAGCAACGAGCTGGGGAGAGCCCGGGACCGGTCGTACGAAATTGATCATGCATGTGTATTTAAAATGCACCACGAGGTGGAGGCGCATCGTAATTATCGAGAAAGCGTTTCCTGAATTTCGCACGCGCTTGCGAGACACGTGCGTGGGCCCCGTCGATTAAGTGATTACCTTAATACAACGATATGCATGCGGCGACATGGGGGGAGCGGCGCGTTCACGCGTGGCCGACGAGTTACGGTCAGAGCGATTCGTCGCGCCCAGCCAATGGCCGGTCGGTGTTCGATCGGGCGCCGATGATTATTTAATTCTTCGGGGCTGGACACATCGGCCTGACTGCTTTAATTATGAGTCGCGTGAATCACGAGAACTGAATAAATTTCGCACGCGCGTATTAGCGGTCGAATGTTAAGCACGAGATCGAACGGGACGAGATTTTCAATTTGCCTTTCCGCTGACTATCGCGCTAGTTATTCCAAGAGGGCTTAATCATTCGCAATAAGATTTTAGTAATTACTAATACATTTATTGCGTGTTTATTTTACAGACTTAACACATAAATTCTTGATAAAAAGGTTTGACAGAAATTCCGAAATATTTCTTGAGATATGAAATTGCTATGGTATTTGTCGGATGAAGAACTCGTCAGAATAGTTGATTGCAAATAAATTTTTCAAAAATATCATTTGGCTTGATTTAAGCTTTACTCTGCATTATTCTGTTCGGCGCGCTGAAAGCGACCGAAGGGGAACTTCCAGCCAACAGAAACTAAACGAGAATTTCTGAGGAGTTCGACCACTTGCAAAGTCAATTCACCAGAGATGCGCACCGCTCTATCTCGCTTGGCTAGAATCGCCGTTTCGTTTTGACGGGGACTTGTTGATATAGCGCTTGCCAACCGAATCAACCGGAGCCAGGGTGAAACGTGAGATACCCGATTTCGATATATCATCGGGTACGAGTAAAACAGGAACGTAAATTCGGCGTATGTAAACGAGGGGAAGGTATGGCACGACGGAAAGGGCCGGAGATGGGGAAAGAGCCGGACGTGAAAGTCATTTCTCCATGCGAAACAAGAAGCGTATGGCACGAGCATCGCTTTCGCAACTCGTGCCAAAAAGGTGCGCATCAGTTACACAAGATCCTATTCCCGAGAATTCCGAGTGGAATTTAAAGCGGACTTTTCCTTAGCGCGAATTTAATGCTCGCGTATCCCTCGATTCTTGCGATCTGGCAAAAACTCTGGATCGTTTCCATCGATCGTTCGAATCGTCGTCTTCCCCCGAAAGTTCCTTACAAAGTAAGCACGCGCGGATCGTCGTTGCGCATTCTGCAACTCAGACTTTTCCGCGTAATATTGTTTTCCTAATATATATTCGCGCAATCGTTTTCCGTCATTGTACGCTCGGACAGGTCGCTTTATTTATGACAAGACGAAAATAAGCTTACCCAAATTGTTTCAGATGAATCTCTACATTATTATCTAAGATGACATCATAGTCCTAAAACGAAGGCAATTCCAATTCGTTGTAATAATCCGCTGCAAATGCGGTTACCGACGCGTTCTTTTTTATAGCAACTTCGTCCCTCGAACGAGGGAGATGTCGGCGTCGTTGGACGCCAGTAACGGGCAAGTCCTACGCGATTCGTCGGCTCGTAACATCGGTACCGACATAAAATCGCGCGAGCGGCACGTTTACGGCCGACAATAATGACCTTAATTGGCGCTTAAAGCGGCTTTCCTTCAATATCCCGAGCATGAGTAACACGCTGCCCGCTGGACATGCATCTTCGTAAAAATCGACAGGCACGCGTGCGCGCTTTCTTATTACTCCCAGAGTGATTCAGAATAACTGTCCCTAGCTTACAAATATGTACGAATAAATAATTGAAATAAAGATATATTCTTTTTTCTTGATTATACATATAACTAGTAATGTTATAATCAGGATATACACAATTTTAATTGAATCGAATATTCAGATAAATTGATTTTCCTCGAGATAAAAATGAAACATTTAGATGAGATAAAAGTGTTAATAATATCATAATACATGCAATTAATAGAGATGTAAATTATGTAAACTCTGTTTCTCTATAAAGCTTTTTATGGGCAGTAATCTTAAATTTCTATGTATATGTGACGGATAATAAAATAAACTACCCAGTGACTTATAGGCAGGAAAATATTGCTAACCCGTAAATGCCACGGTTTTGCCTAAAATGTTGGGAGATACGCGCGTTTATACTATGGCACTGCAATAACCGCAACTTTACGACACAAAAAATGGTCGCCGATACATTGTCCTCGCAGAGGATGAAATTTTGTTGCACTGCTATGTTCTATCGTGAATTTACGGTATGACAAAATGACATTTTTTTATCACTACACTTCGCGTATATCATATATTCGAAAGTATATCTCTCATTGTATTTATACATATGTATATATGATACTTGAACACATATGAAATGAATAATTTCAAATTAATCACATAAATCGCGTTTGCGAATTTTTATATTAAGCATAATCTATATTTTATTAGAATAAATTATTCACAAGTGTAAAAACGGTTGTGGCGGCGCTTGACTTTCAGCGACGTCAAAATACTCTATCAATAATTAATGCAAGGAAAAGTGGCCATTTGCATATTTAATGAGTCCTGGCGGTATCGTCGATCGCGTGATGTCGTCGTTTGGAAACGGGCTGCTGTCGTCGCGAAATCATGTCACTGACAGGCGACCTTAAGAGAAGTGACTTGCCTGGAAAACGACTATACTTTACGACCTGCATGCAGGCGCAGATGCTCCGAAGAATCTAGCAGAATTGGCAGTTGAAATCGCGCTTAGATGCCGGCACCCTAGGCGAGCCTCCACCGTCGTAAAGATTACGATGTGGAAATGAGATATAAGGCGACGTCATATATAGCCAATTTGGCGACGGCAAGAAAGACGAGGTGGGGTGTCGTCTCGATATTATCATATTTGCCGTCAGGTGCGAGCATTCTCATCGCCGATAGCTCTTTCCCCTCGATGAGACAGCTTAAATAAAACAAGACTCACTCCTCTATCCGCGCGTTTCATAAACGCGCGCAGAAAGTAATACCATCTGCAGACTATAAAATCATTTCCGCCGAGAGAGAAGAATCGAACGGTGCAATCGCGAAACTCGTTTGTCCATTTATGAAAGCTCGCGGGAACGATCGTTCTTCTAACGGATATATTTGAGCGCTCCGCTCCCTGAAGTATTCGAATACGTTTCCTACATGTTATCGCATCGCGAAACGTAACTGAACTCTGTTTATTCTGAGGACAATTCTACACAAATATGGACAAGGGCACTCCGTATAATTGGGATAAATTGGCTTGCTATTACAACTCCGTATCCGTAGAGTGATTTGTTCAGACTAATTTGTTTGGATTAGTTTGGAACAATTTGCGACAATTTTGTAGATAAGATTTGGGAAATTTTAGACGTAGATTTTAGAAATGAATTCATCATAACGACTCGTAAATTACAATTTTCTAGTCGAGTCATTATTAAAAGGAAAATGCGACGTGCACCATCTCCCACATGTAGAGTTGTAGAGAATGATTCTAGCGACGTATCCAGCTTGAAAAATTTTACACGTTCTCTCTCTCCGGTTGGACATTGGCAAGCCACCCCAGTCGCCCGTTCATCTCGCGCGGGAATATTTCGCAGAGCTCCGAAATTCTCGAATCTCACACGTGGCGGGGGAGACGGGGAAGGGCTATCGGCGGCGGCATGTGCGTTCCCGTCATATTTTCCTACGTACTTTATCTTTCCCGGCGCGTACACACCCTCGTCCTCGTAACTCGATCGTGACGAGCGAGCGCGCGGACTAACAAAATTTTCAGAGTAAACGAGGTGCGCGATGCTGCGCCGCCGGGAGAGAGCCTCTGATATCGACGTCCCACACATGAATTCAATTACGTCGTACAAGCATACGAGAGTCCTCTCCCCGGGGTTTTTTTTTCCTCTCGCCTCGTGTTCCCGCCCGTATATACCTTCGTGCGCGCGCGTACGTATGCGTGCGTACGTATATGCGCGTGCACGTGCGCCCGCGAGTCCGCGTGTTGGGTCAACGTTCGCGTCCGTAGCAGCCGGGTCACGTACGATGCAACGCATTAATGGTACCGGTCCGAGCTTCCTCTGTATCGGCGCAGAAAGGATCGCAACTCAAAATAATAATTTCCGAGTTTATACTCGCGGATTGAAACCAATTTAATTTTGGCGAAAAAAAAATCGATTCCCCAAGTTTGTAGATGTAAAAATACGCATTCATTTCATGATGAACAAATATAGATTTTTATGTGTCTGTGATATAAAATTTCGAATCTACTAGTAGTCTATCAAAATCTATCTATAGTCGATTTCAGTCTATCTAGAAATCTTCATCAAAAATCGATAGACTTGAAAATTGAGAGTATAGGAAATAATAATTTTTTTCGCTTGAACCCCCTAAGTTTCTTACAAAGGCAAAAGTGGTTAAAGGGTGCAAAGCTTTCCTACTTTGATACGCATCCAAGTTGCTTCATAAATTCAACTAAATGGTGTGTTTAATTAAATCTAGAGAGATGGATCATTTCTGTCTCCCTCTCTCTCTCTCTTTCTCTTTTGGATGACGTTAAATTTCGGTCTCTGACATCGCCGAAATTGCAAGACGTTCGCGATTTGTCACGGCATTCTGACGAACATCATGTACCGGGTGAGAGTGGCGTGACCGAGAGTAGAATAGCGTACAATCTACGAAGGATACGAGTGCCTGTTCCTAGGAGAGGGATGACGCGAGACGGAATGGCATAGTTTCCTTTTGACGGATAATGAATAGATCGTTATACAAGAGCACAATGGACACGGCTAAATCTTGTTGATCGACCGTGGCGAATTGTCTTTATTATTAAGAACTCGATTAAACTTTCGACGCGGTCAATTAGGGTAAAGAGATTTGATCAATCGTCGAAATTCTCTAAACTGATTGCAGCCCTAAAGCGTTTCTCACTCACCCGGATAGTTTCGTAGAGCCTCACGATACTCGGATGTTGCAGCATTGACAGGACCTTCGCTTCCCTCGTCAGGTTCTTCATTACGTAATCCTTCTTGCCTTGCTCGACGTCTATTATCTTAATCGCCACCTGAAACAAGAAACGAAGGGTGTCACGTAATTAATCGAGTGCGTAGTCGAACTGAGCTATTGTTGTGTAGGGAAATATATCAAAAATACTTTTAGCACTTTGAGCCTTTTATGCGAGTTTTTTTATTGTTATCAAGATTTGTTTATTTAAAAAAAACTTTGAAAGATAGATTATGTTGCTTCGTTTATTATTGATGATACTTTTACATCGCGTCCACCTGCACTGATGACGGCCAATGACGCATATGTTAAAGCTAATTCTCCAGTAAATTAAGACGTTGCTGGAAGGTGAACAAATAATCGGCATGTGGAGGGTTGAGTGAAAAAAAATTTCACGTCAATACAGCGCACCTCCGGTTGAATAAACGCTTTATTCGTGCGCGCACGCACGCGGCTCCTCTCGCCAGAGATATTTCATCCCGAGCGAAAAAAACGCGCGAGTTTATCCTCGGGGCTTTTAGGGATCAATCGCCCCGCATTCTCTCCTCGAATTGCTAGCACGTCAAACACCTTCCATATGCCTGCTTGAGGAGCAACGAGCTCGCTTTTCTACGGTGCGGAGGGTGAAGGTGGTGAACGAGAGCGAAAGCGAAAGAGGGAGAGTTACGAGATGGAAAAGAAGAGATGCCTTGGGATTCGAATACGTTAAGACGGCCGCGCGAGCGAATGGGGCGCGCCTTCACGGTCCCCTGTCCCTTTGATGTACTGTAAAGGCCCGGAGGCGATAATTCGCACGAACCTAAGCGATTGAAACGGTGGACTCTCTGTCGTATCCCTCGGCATTGAGGGTGCACAACGCAGGAAACTGTAACGCTGAATTATATCAACCGGAGGGTACGCGAGAACTTGCACCATCACCGCAAAGGTCTCTTGTTACGTCTCTTGTTCAAAATTGGAAGCGTGGGTGGTGGGACCAATGAGGAAAAAGGTGTATCGATTTTAGAATTTTCGAGGGGGACAGATTACAGTCGGGTAAAGAATATAGAGTTTAATCGTGAATTCGCTTCTGAACTATCAATAAAAAGTATAGGAATTTTCGCGACGCATCCGTTGTACTTAACATTGCCGGCATTTTCGGTCTTTACTTAACAGTTCGACTCGAGAAGGAAGTTGGAGAAACTTTCCGCGACGCGACGGTTCGTTTCGAGGGTCCCAAAATCTTTGCGTCCTCGAGTTCCCAAGTTGCCCGGCAGCAGCGGGTCGCATATCATTAGCGGCGGTGGCGCCGGCATCCTTTGATCTTCCTGCTCTTTCTGTATTGAGTGAGAAAGTGACACGAGCAGACGAGAAGTAAGGAGAGAACGGAAGAGAGAAGTAGAGGAAGAGAAGCGCCCCTGTTCCGGGGCCGTTCGCAATGTGCGAAACGTAAGAAAGAGAAAGAGAAAGAGAGAATGACAAAGGAAACACAAGGAGAGAAGAGGGGGGAGGGAAGTCTCTTGCGTTGGACTCAAGGTATGTCTGACAGCCTCCCCAAATGATTTGTGGCGCTCTTCGCCAGATACAAGATACTAATTCTTTGGGTGCTGTCAGTCGACCAGCTACCGCGCTCGCCACTGTCGACTCGCTCTCCTTCACTCCCCCTCTCTATCTCTCTCTCTTCTTTCCGGCGAGTTTCTCTGTTGGCTTATCTCTGTTTGCATTATGTTACAACTCAGTCAACTGACACGCCGTTCCTCGTCCCATCGCCCCACATTATGATCGTCGCTTCTTCCTCTTTAAACGCTGTAGTTATGGTAGATCAATCTTGCGAGTCCAAGATAATGCGCGATAATGCGTCAGAATCGCGTATGCAAGAACATTTCTAGGTGGCTCAGTATAGAAGAGCAGTCACAATTACGAGTTTTACATGTACATTTCTGCGAAGGGTCTCTCCCCTTTCATTTATTTGATTTTCCTTCTTAGCTTATCTCTGTTTGCATTCTGTTACAGCTTAGTCAACTGATATTCCATCCCTTTCTGTTTGGGCGTTGCAGAATATTGAATTGATCTTGGGAGTCACGATGGCACGCCGAAATACTACATACGTAAGTCACTTCTCTATAAAGTTTTCATGTACAAATGTTTGGATCTCTCCCTACATCTCTGCGAGCCTTTTCTCCGCTTATCTCTTATCTTTGTATTATGTTACAACTTTGTTAGTCAACTGACGCATCGCTTTTCATCTCATCGCTCTACGTTACCCGTCATCGTTGCTTGCTGTAAACTTTCTAAACCGTCGCCGTATGACGGATCGATCTGCGAAATTGAAAGCAAACTGATATCGATAGTTTGTACACTTTTAAAGCTCTTAGAAAATAAAGTACACATTTTGTACACAGATTACCAATGTTTCCATCCTAATTAGGAATTTTACCGGCAATAGCCGATCACTTATACATTAGCATTATAATTTTTTGTTTTAACATAAATAACATATAAAAAGATTAACGCGGAATAGTTACTATTGTTTCCCCTGTTTTTACCTTCGCAAATCTCCGCGCTGCCAGCGTATAGCGCCTTTCACATAAATTCTTTTGCGCGAACAGTTTAGATTTGTCACTGAATTGCGAGAACGCCACGCGGATAATTCCCAAGGATATTCGTCGTGGTTTATATCGGTTAATGCGACGCAGAATCTTGTTTGAAGCCGAGATAAAATGGGGTCGCGAGTGGCGCGGCGGCGCGACCGCGAAGAGACACGAGACGCGAATAAAGTAGTTCTATTTGCGCGGGCGAGAGAAATGGGAAAAAGCAGAGTCGCGGAGCTGTAATAATGTTTGCGAAAGCCACATTAAGGTATCCATTTTAGAGATCGCTTACTAACGAATGTTCCTGCGTGGGTCGAGATATACGAGCGAACCGCCGCGCAGCTATACCCAGGGCTCGACCTGTCAAGGTCTTCCGCGGAAGGTACAGGCGCGTATATCGCACCACCACCACCATCACGCGTTCGTACGAACACACATTCACGCATCTTCGATATATCCTGTATCCCGGATCCGCGGATACAAAGCCAGGATGCGAGATTGTCGCTATATAGTTATACCGCACGTGATGCTCAGTTTCGCGATTACTACTATAAGCTTTATACGTCTTTAATTTCGAATAAATCAGAAGTTTTAAAAGGCAACATTCATTTACGAGGGCAAGTCAAGAAATAAAGGAACTTTGTAATTTTGCGATAAAAAAAATAATTAGATATCAATCAATTTATATCATACAGATAAATTCATTATAGATATATGAGACGTAGTGCAGAGATTCGAATAATATTCCAAGAGAATATCCTGAACGTCATAAAAATATACACGTTTTGGGTCAAGAGACACGTTTTGTCAAGAGTCTTACGCCAAATCATGTGCAGCAAGCGCAAGTAGTAAAAATAGATACGTCCCGTAATAACTGCATGTACGATGCTTACTTTCAAGCGTTTTCTGAAACTCAATTAAAGTTAAAAATTGAAAAAACAAAGAAACGGCAACAGTTTCCGAGCTATAAAAAGTCAAAGTAAATTAATGATATCACGTAGACTTTGCGTATAATTAAGCTCGTAACTATGTTTATAGATATATATGTTTATAGATATATCGGTTTATTGTCACAGCATACCATATAGATTGATTTTTGTCACTCAACTGATTTTGTCTTTCAGTATATTGTGTAAAAATATTATTACAATGATTACTAGTAACAAATTATATTTAGTCATTTTTTAAATGAAATTTTAAATGGTCCTATTATTCCATTTAAAGAAAAATATTAAATCTAATATTTATTTTAAGTTAATAAAGTTTGTTTGATCGGAAAAGTATTTATGCAAAATATACCGTTTTAGCCTCATTTTTTCTCGCTGGAGAGAAGTAAAATTGTATGATTTAAATCGAGAGAAAAATAAAAATGGAATTGCCACATTTTCTGCGCTTTAATCTCATTTTCTTAATTTATTAATATCGCGCAATTTCATTTCTCTTCTTTCTCGGGACGTGAAAATTTAAAAGAAATAATATTATAATTTACATTCAACATTTTTTCGACCAAAACGATGCTGAATTTTATTTTCCAAATAAACGTTACATTTAATAATATTATTTAATTGATTAAAAATAACAATTTAATTTTCATCAAAAGAAGAATTAAATAATCTGCCTAACATAGTTAAAATGTCGATACATATGCATGCAGCAATTAAATCGCGGTATATTCTCGTTGTGTCACTAGCTATATCTTTGTTATTCAAAATGCTCTCGATCGAAATTATGATATTAGATATGTGAAGTTAATTAGTTATCTTCGGCAATGCTAATAACTAAATATAAAATAAAGCGAAATGATAATATAGCTGATATTATATCTTACTCGTGCGTCCAAAGTAATTCAAGGTACATTGAATCCGTACACATAAGCAAAGATAATATTCGGCGTACATTTATTCGGAGATGTTGACCGTTTTGTAGCGCGATGCGTGTGGCATGCGGTGCCTCCTCGGTGCTCATTGTTTACATTCGTACGTTGCGTAGTGCTGATGTACATGCTGTATAGTGTGTATGCGCGCGCCGCGCGGTGGCGCGGTCGCTCCATTTCCATTCGTGCGGTGAGGCTCGAGTTGGCAGGCAGCAGCGCGTGCTGCTCCGTATGTCGTCTTATTATCATCCCTCCAAATACAATTATTTCCTATATTAACTACGATCAGCGGATTGTAAGCTTGCACGATGTATTATTCTTCCATTTGATCACTCAAAATCGCTGTATTATAGAAGCAGACGACGGGTTTATCCAAATAGGTATATGTAGGTTAAGTTCATCTGACTGAAGGAATTAGGAAATCGGAGCAAAGAACGAGCGAGTTATGTCCCGGTTTTCTATTTATCGAAAGATAATTATTATTATTAATGGCGCTCCTTTTTCGCAAATCGATATATATTTTTACTTTGTGCGCTTTGAATTTTTCACTGAATGTAACTCTCTCTCTTGCTCGTTTGTCTCGAATTAAGAGCGCAGAATATGATATACGCGTTGTCGGAT